TTGTTAGTCCCTAAGGTGCTGCTAGACTATTCGTTGTCTTTTAAGTTTTTCCAGTTACAGACTAACACGGCTGCCCCCTGAAATCCTCTAATCAAGTCACTCCTCATTTCTCTTGTGTACATTAATCAAAATGAGCTCGTTTAATCTCTCACTGTCAGCCCACAGACCATTTCGGTGACTCTTTTCTGCCCCCTCTCCAATTTTTCACCATCTTTCTTAAAATGAGGACACCAGATCTGGACATAGGAGTCCAGTATTTCTCACCACTGCCATATATCACCACCTCCCAGCTCCGACTCCCTTTTATGTGCTGCATTAAGTCAAGTGCTTTACAAACATTTATTGTGTGACACAGGCACCTTGTAATCTCATCCAAGAATTAAATCAGGTTTGTGTGACAATTCTCCATAAAACTGTATTGACTGGTATTAATTATCCTCCTATCCTTTAATTCATTATTGATTGAATTCCATGTCAGCTTTTCCATTATTTTTCTCAGGACTGATGCCAGGCTAATCTGCAAATGCTTATTGGATAGTCGACACGCGAGTCGACTAGTCGCTTCCCTCCTTGCACCCAAGGTCTGCTGCTTTGAAACACCGTGTGCAGCCTGGGTTCCATGTGGTGCTGCTGCTTCTAAACACCATGGCTACACTGGCCCCTTTTCCGGAAGGGGCATGTAAATTTCACTAGTCGTCGTAGGGAAATCCGCGGGGGATTTAAATATCCCCCGCGGCATTTAAATAAAAATGTCCGCCGCTTTTTTCCGGCTTTTAAAAAAGCCGGAAAAGAGCGTCTAGACTGGCCCCGATCCTCCGGAAAAAGCGCCCTTTTCCGGAGGCTCTTATTCACCTATGAGGAGAGGCTGAGGGAGTTGGGTCTGTTTAGTTACTTCAAAGTAGGAATAAGAGCCTCCGGAAAAGGGCACTTTTTCCGGAGGATCGGGGCCAGTCTAGACGCTCTTTTCCGGCTTTTTTAAAAGCCGGAAAAAAGCGGCGGACATTTTTATTTAAATGCCGCGGGGGATATTTAAATCCCCCGCGGATTTCCCTACGACGACTAGTGAAATTTACATGCCCCTTCCGGAAAAGGGGCCAGTGTAGACGTAGCCCAGGTGAAGCCTGATGCTGGGCTCCCTGTGGTGTTTCAAAGCAGCAGCGCTGCATGGAGCCTGGGGTCAGCTGGGGACTGACACTTTGAAACACTGCAAGGAGCATGGGGCTAGCGGGGGACTGCTTGAGTCTCCCGCTGGCCCCAGGCTCCTTGCATCACTTTTGCCTTTGAAGTGTAGCAACAGCCCTGGGGTGGGTCCTGGAGCAGTGGAATGGATACGGCATTCGCCTGAGGAGAGTGTTTTGGTGGGCTCAAGTCCTCCCCCCACCCCCACTTGGGAGCAGCAGGACTGCCAACACTAGCTGCCCCAAAACTGGATCCAGCTCCCACATGGGGAAGGCAGAATAAGGGGCACCCTGAAGGTAGGGAGGTGGGGTGAGCCCTGGAGTGGCTGAAGGGATAAGGCATTTGACTGGGGCACGCAGGATGGGAACTGTTGCTACACTTCAAAGGCGGAGGTGCCCTAATTGAATAGTTGATGCAAACTGCGTCGACTATTTGATTAGCCAGTTAATCTAAATGTAACATCCCTAGTACATACCTAAGACATCTCACGTACCCTATTTCAATAGTGGCACAGCATTCACACACTAGCAGTCTTCTGGAATTTCCCAGTATTCCAAGATGTATTAAAAATTAACACTAGCAGGCTAACAATCTCCTCAGCCAACTCTTTTAGGACTCTTGGATGCAAGTTCTGCTCCAATTAGGTGCCAGCTCTGGTGGTGGTCTTTGTAATGGGGACATCTGCCCATTGGGAACCACTAAAGTCATCAGATGATAATTTTTGATCACTGCCAAGTTGAGCCAGATAGTAAAGAACAACCTAGAGGTGACATAGTCCTGTCTAATATTCTGAGCCATCCAGTCACCCAGTTAGCTAAGAAATCATTAAGACAAACATGGAACTGGTTATAAAATTACACCGGATAGTTGTGAGACCGCCACTAATATCTGTAGCTTTGTGATCAAAGGATCGCAAAACCTCATACTTTATGGGAGTCACATAGCATCTTACATTTGTCAAAATGTATTAGAGGAGAACTCAAAGCGATGGGGGTGACCTTTTTCAGAAGCATCAAGTGTTAGTTTAGTGTACAAGAAAACAGACCTTAACTTTTGATCAAATGTAATATGGCATCTCCTGTTTAAAGTAGAAACAGAAACCTGTCTCCGATCACCTTCAAGCTTTGCGAGTGTTAAGAATCCAAACTCAAAACTGCATCCAAGCCTTCTCTCTGAAAGCTCTCAGATGCTGAAATCTGGCTCTTCATTTTGTGAATATGAGCCGCTGCTACCAATGGTGTGGACAGGCGGGGGGCTGACCTTAGTCCAGGTGAAGCCCTCTTAGAGGAGGCCCTAGAACTAGAACTGACCCTGTTGGTTGTCGTGGTATTCCACTTCCTGGGCAATTCAGAGATTTGTGCCACCTCAGAGTTCATTGAAGGGGAGCTTTTAATCACAGTATATTGGTAACTGCTTGGTAGCTGCTTAGCTTCTCTTGGAACACAGCTGTGTGAAATAAACACTTCCCTGCTTGTAGGCTCTCACACTGGATTGTTCACTGTTTTGTTTGGTCTCAGAGGGCTTGCCCTGTTAGTCTGTAACTTTCAAAACAAGTAGTCCTGTGGCACCATAGAGACAAACAAATATATCTAGTGTCATGAGCTTTTGTGGGCAAAACCCACTTCCTCAGATGAGCTGGAGTGGAAATAACCAGCCAATAACATTTTGTTTGGTGTAATTTTGGGGTGCTTCCCCCCACTAATGTTCTGAAACAATGTCTTTCCCATCAAAAACATTGGGAAAACATTAATTTCTGTAAGCTTTTGGTGATCCAGGGGTTAGTGTGTGTGGCCCAGAGATCTCCTAGTGCCAGCTGGCAGCGGGAACAGGGGTCATAATGGTTACAGGGATCCCTTGGGCCTGATGTTTATGTACTAGGTGCCAAAGAGTGTTGTGTAAGGTCTCTATTGAAAGCCTGTGTCATGCTGAGCCTCACCATCATTGTGAAATGTGTGTATGGCTATTATGGAAGGAGTCCCATGTATATACTGAAAATTATGGTGTGAAGATCTGCAACTTGGTCACTAAAAGGTGCAAGACAGGTTCCTTTCAGGCAAGAGAGATTTAGCTATCCATCTGGCTACATGGAACCTGCGCATTGTATGGTGCACAATGGATAGCTGGAGCCAAAGGCTGGGAATTGTGAGGTCTTCCGGAGAGGGAATGGACAGGAAGAGATACACCAGCAGGATGGGGTCTTGTTTGCTAGTGGATTTGAGGGCTGCCACTGGAGGTACAAAGCTACCCTTGGCAGAGCAAGCCAAGAGCAGGGCTTGTCTCATGAAAAAGGGATCGCAGCCTGCCTGGCTGAAAGACCTTGGTGGGCCATGCTAGGCTTTAGAAGGGATGGTCTGGGTGTATTTTGAGATAGCCCCTTGTTCCCAACACTTCCAGCTACTTGCTGTTACTTGATTCCATGGCTTGTTAAATACACTTCTTCTGGGTGTGTTGAGCAGTGACCGTGAGCTGAACATGGGGAGCTAGGGTTGCCAGATGGTTGAAAAAAGAAATTGGAAGAGAGACTGCCCAAAATTGAAGGCAAAGGGGAAGAAAAGACAACCGGAGAACCGCCAGATGCGGGCAGAATCCTCCGGAGAAGAATCTAGTTGAAGGGGACCGGGATCTAAGGCCACCCAAGAAAAAAAAATTAAAATTAAACAGCATTAAACCAGCATGTCCCCTTTAAGAGTGAGTGCAGGGGTAGGAACAGGGGAGCGGTTGAGCACTAAGACCCAGGGAAGCATTGCTTCTCCTTGGTCGGCAGCCATTGTGTGCCGGCAGCCTTGTGGAACCTGTTAAGCATGGGAGCTGAGGGTGTTGGGAGCCAGGAGTGCTTGGGAGGCTGGGGGCGGGGCGGGTGGGGGAGGCCGGGCGCTGAGTGTTTGTAGGGTTGCCAGGTACCTGGCATTTTTGCCTCCTGACCGGGGGAAAAATCAGAAAATACCCGACATTTTAGGTGTCCGATATTCTCTGAATTTTTTTACTGGACAGGAGGCGAAAATTCCGGACTGTCCGGGTGAATACCGGACACCTGGCAACCCTATGGGGAGCTGGGACATGCTTTTCCTTTGGGAGCAGCAGATCTGGGCACTCCAGTGGCACAAGGCTGGGCACTCCCGAGGGATGATCGGAAAATGCAGGCATTTGAGTGTATCTGTTCCTATGCTCTACAGAGAGTCGGGTCTACACCGGCTGGGGAGACAGTTCTGTCCTCAAGAAGCTCTAGCGCGTTTGGAGGTGGAATGCCTGGAAACAACAGGTGTCTGTTGACATCATCTTGCCATCGTGTTTCAGGTCTTTTCTATCCTGCTTTCAGTGGGGCAAAGTCACAGCTGATTCTTGCTAGTCATTCAGAGAGTAGGACAATACCACCTTAGACAGTTTGAGAGCACGGGACCTGTTTAGCTAGAAAACAGCTCTCTTCCTGCAGTGTGAATTCCAATCATTGGATGTTTTTGATCAGCTGGAAATAGTCCATCTCAATGGCACCCTGCTTCTTTTTAGCACTGGCAACAAGAGGCCATGTGTCAGTTCCAAAAGTCAGGCTACCGACCACCAATGTATTGCATAGCCTCAGCTTCCTCTCTCTACATACCAGGATCAGTAATTTGCAACAGATGTTCTTGATGAAAGGCCCCATTACTGATGACACTTTTCCCTTCCATATTAACCACAAGGCAGATTAAATCTCTGATAATCTCCACTGGGCAATCACCCGCAAAGATAATGGAGGCTTCAGCGGGTTTGAAGCTGCTGCTTGACAGAATTTTGGTCTTACCCCAAATAATTTTCATGCCAACTTTTGCCATTCAACTTTCCAGGGCTATAAGTGCTGCAGTCAGCTCATCTGTTGATCCGACAGCGAGCCCTACGCTGGCAAAATCAGTGTAAGTATTCTCAATTCATTGCCATAAACTATTTATTGAGTATCTGGTCAAGCCAGTAGTCTGTGATAGCACTGAAGGATGTTGGGTAATGACAAATCCTTGTCTTTAGCTCACTCAGACCTTGTCTACGCTACAGCGGAAGGTTGACTTAAGATACAGAACTCCAGCTAATTACATAGCTAGAGTTGACATATCTTAAGTCATGTTTCCACGCCGTCCAGTGGGAAGTCGATGGGAGAAAAGGCTCCTGCTGGCTTCTCTTACTCCTCATGAGGAGCAGGAGTACCAGCGCTGACCAGGGAATCCTCTGAGTTTGATTGAGCGGGTCTTCACTAGACCCACTAAATCGAACCCCGTAAAATCAACCGTGGTAATGTTGATCTTCTGCGTAGTGTAGACATAGCCTCAGAAGAAGGCAGTTCTTTTCCCATTCACAAGGAAGTGACTTGAGCAGTGATATAAGAAACAGGCCATTCTGCCAAACTTGTCAGCAATGCCTGGAAGTTTCAAGAGCAGCCAGAGTGATTTACCTGTCAACAGAATCAAGCGCGGCCTTGACATCCACACCTGTGATGCAAATAGGGAGTTTGGATTTTTATGCCTTCTCAATCCTGTAAAAATTGCTCCATTGTCGAACAGACAGGAGGGAAGTCAGCTTGTTTGGTCTTCTCTTACTCTTTAAGATATCAGTGTCTTTGGATGACAAGAAAAACAAAATCATTCCCCGGGATGGATAGAAGCAGAAAGCTGCAATAGTTACAACAGTCTCATTTGCCTCCTTTGTGTTTCCCAAGTGGTAAAACAATGCTGTTGTACCAGTTGGATGGGACCCGCTCTGTTTGCCAAAAGAAATCAAACACAATCCACAGCCACAAAAGAACAGCTGGGCCAGAGTTTTTTAACAGCTCTGCAGGAATCCACAGGCTCCTGCCTCGTTAATTCAGCAGAATCATTTTGTGCAGAAGGAGTCAACTCGGCATCAGCCTTAATGGCAGGGTCCAGAAACACTGGGGCTGAAGTTAGTAGAGGGCAGGAATGGTCGCTTCCAAGCCATGCACCTGGCTTCTGTATTGATCACCTCACTAGAACTGGAGTAGGCCATGCCCCGTGAATGATCTTTGTCATCAGCATGGTCATGCACATGTTTATATAAGGAAGCGAGGTTGTTCCGGGCAGAAACTTCCTTGAGTGCACTAGCTTAGGCTTCTATAAAAGCTTTGTGGTCAGTGTGTCTTGCGTTATGGTGCGCAGACCGGCCAATGGGGTGGGGGTGGGGAGCGAGATATGGGGCCTGGCAATTTTAAGGAGCCCAGGGCGCCTGACCTCCACTACAGCTACTGTGACAATGGTGGCGATCAGAGCTCCGGGCCCCTTTGAATCGCCGCTGGAGGGCTGCTCCAGGAGACTCTGAGGGCTGGGCGGGGGAGGGGAGAAGGGCTATATTCCAAGCGATGTGAGGGCTGGCTGCCCCTTCTGCCCGAGGTCCTGCCCCTTCCGGGGACACGGAGTCGCTCCCCCCCTTCTTCTAGTGGCTGGTGATTCTACTGATTGTGAGCTCTGTTTAGCTTACAAGGCGTGACCGTACCACAGCTCAAGAGAGCTGGGTAATTCAGAGATCCAGGCTTTCTTCATTCTTTTTCTGGGCCCAATGGCTCTCATGGTGGCATTTGTTATCCGGGATCCGTCCTGGTGGAGCCAGCATCAGGATGTGCATGCAGGATCTCAGACCTGTCAGTTTCAGCGCCACTGCGCAGTTGAAATCTCTATCGACCTTCTGTGAGAATACCCGACTTTTGGAAATGCAGGTGTCACTTTGCCTGTGCTTTTGGGTCCGAGATGGAAAACTGCAGAGACTCATGTGTGATTGGTGTGACCGAGCTTGGCAGAGGACTGATAAGTTCTGCAGTGGCTGATGGATGATTTCCAGTGGCAGGGGGTGATAATGTCATCAGTCATCTTCTTTGTTTGGCTGTCGTTACCTGACCAAATAAATTGGGGAATTCACTTCCTGGGAAAGCAGATGTGTCTAACGACAAGCTCGTGAGAAACACCCAACTGTAAAAGGCCTTATCAGTTGCTGTTTAAGGTCTCCGGGGTAACAGGTCTGAGAATGTTTTTTCCGCACTCCGCTTGAATTGTCAACAGCAGCATTAAAATCACAGAGGAGAGCGGCGAGGTTGTGGTTCAAGACTAGGGGGGGGTAAGGCTCAGTTCTCTGCTCTGCCACACACTTCCTGTCTGACCTTGGCCAAGTCACTTAGCCTCTCTGTGCCTCCGCTGCCCATCTGTAAAAATGAAATAGCACTTCCCTACCGCACAGACATGTTGTAAGTACGCTAAAGACTATGAGGAGCTCCAAATCCTATGGTTAGGGTCCTACTAAAGTCACAGTCCGTTTTGGTCATTTTCATGGTTACAGGATTTTAAAAATGGTAAATGTAATGACATCAGCTATTTCAGTTGAAATTTCAGTGATGTGGTTGCTGGGGCCCTGACCCAGGAAGGAGTTGTGTGAAGAGAGTCACAGCACTGCTCCCCCTTACATCTGCGCTGCTGCGGGTGGTGCTGCCGCCTTCAGAGCTGGGCAGCTGGAGAGTGGTGGCTGCTGGCTGGGAGCCCAGCTCTGGAGGCAGAATTCTGCTACCTGTGGAGCCGGGCTGTGAGTCAGCAGCTGTCACACTCCTGGTGCCCAGACCTGAAAGCAGCAGCACAGAAGTAAGGATGCCATGGGTATGGTATTGCCACCCTTACTTCTGCACTGCTACTGATGGGGTGCTGCCTTCAGAGCTGGGCACCCGGCCAATATTACATCCACCCATGGGCGGGTGGGTGAAAGCCCACCTGGGGAAGGCAAGTTCCAGCTCCTCCCCTTCCACCTGAAGCCCCGCCCCTGGAGCCAAACCCCGCCCACCTCCAACTCGATTCTTTCTGGCCACATGTAGAACTGCCAGCCCTATCCCCATCCCTCTCCAACAGCCAGGGGAAGTCGGGCTGCCAGGCTGTGAGCCCATCCCTCCCCGGTGGCCAGGAGAAGCAGGGCTGCCGGGCACAACCCCATCCATCCCCAGTGGCCGGGGGAAGCTGGGCTGCCACACCATGACCCCAGCCACTGGGGAAAGCTGGGCTGCTGGGCCACGGCCCCATCCTGCCCTGGTGGCTGTGGGAAGTCACGCTGCCTCACTGTGGGCTGCCACGTTGGGGTCCCAGCTTTAGGTGGTCGGGCGTGTAAGCAGTTTTGGGAAGGCTGGCTGTGCCTTCTCCTGCCTACATTACCAACCACCCAGGCATCCATCACTCTCCCGCTGCCCAGCTCTGATGGCAATGCAGAAGTAAGGATGGCAATACCATGACCCTCCTAAAATAATCTCATGCCTCTCCCCCCCCCACTCCCCTTTTGGGTCAGGACTCCCAGTTTGAGAAACGCTGGTCTACCCTGTGACATCAATATAGTATAGGGTAAAAGCACACAAAGGCCGGATTTCATGGGGGGACGCCATGGCATGTTTTGCATGGCTGTGAATTTGGTAGGGCCCTACCTATGCTAATGGAGGCCATACATGTATCTGATGGAGAGAAAAAACATTGCTTATGCCCTGGACCTATTTCCCCCTCAGCAGAAAGCTTGTTTGTGGCGAGAAAAATGAGCAAAACCATCTTCTTTTCCCTGGAAATTTGTCCTCTTAACTTTCCATGAAAAGCAGCCCCCGCCATATCCTTTAGTGGGCTTGAACACAGGGATAACTTGGTGAATTTCTCTGGCCTGTGCTATCCAGGAGCGTCGACAAAATGATCTAATTGTCCTTCCTGGCCTTAAAAAAACCCCTAAGAATTGGGCATCTCCAAACCAAACGTGACTAACTCAAAATGTGGCAGAGCTTTGCCTCTCCTGCTTGATCCTTCCCAGGCCTTGACTTCGCAGAGCCTTTTTAGGAGAGAGAAGCTGTGCTTTGGTTGGTGCTGACCCTGAAATGCATTTTCTGTTCTGGGTGTCACTAGTTTTCTGGGGGTGCTGGGTGTTAATTTCCCACTTGGCCCATAAATCAGCCCATGAAAACTGGTTCTGTCCTGCACTGCATGTTACTTTCTGCTAGGAGCAGGGCTTTTTAAGGAAATTGGAAATGCTGCTCATTCGCTTGTGCCATTTCACTGACGTCGCACATGTTCATTTCTCTTCGGAAAAGCCAGTTGTTATTTTTCTAATTCCCTTTAGAGCACTTCAAAGAACAGCTGGATAGTCTCTGGTGAGCACTCGGCCGCCTGAGATGAAGTACGAGAACTGTGCTTCCATAAACTCAAACTTTAATGAGGATACAATTGCATTTTAGCCAACAATTCAGTCAGTTTTTCCTCCTCCATTTGCCACATTATCATTTCAGTGATGGAGGGAAAAAACACCCCACTTTGTTCTGGCCAAACAATTCTTTGCCTTTTCAACCAACCAACCCAACCAACCAACTATCCTTCTCAATGTTTGGCCTGTTTCATTATTTTGCTGTGAAACCTTTCTCCCATTGGTCTTGTCCTCACCCCAGTTGTACTGCGGCTTCAACTCATAGTTTGTAAAGCTCCAGGAAACTGCTCAGTCAAATAAGATCATACAGTTACCTTTAACATGTCATTTCGCCGCCCCCTCCCTCCTTTGCAGCTCACATATACAGGCAGTCCCCGGGTTACATGGATCCGACTTACATCAGATCCCTACTTACAAACGGGGTGAGGCAACCCCGCACTAGCTGCTTCCCCCCAGCAGACCAGGGAGACGCGAAGCTAGCGCCCCCCCAGCAGACCAGGGAGATGCGGAGTGGCTTTTCTCAGCAGACACCTCAGCTTGAGAATAAAGGACTGAGAGAAGTGAGGTGTGGGAGAATAAAACTGAGCTCTGGAGAAAAGTTTGGCTGGAGTTTCCCCTACAATATGTACCAGTTCCGACTTACATACAAATTCAACTTAAGAACAAACCTACAGTCCCTATCTTGTACGTAACCCGGGGACTGCCTGTA